CTGCTGGTGGCCGCCTGTGATCCCAGTATTCAGAAAACTAAGGCAGGATTTTTATTATAGGTCTACAAGTCTGGATTATATAGTGAGTTCAAGGATGGCCTGAGATACATAGTAAGACCTTATCATACAAAATAAAAAGAATGAAATGAGTTAGTTGGAGTAATAGAGATGATTGCTAGAACTATGAGACTTTTGGATAATGAATATCAACAATTCAGATGTTGTCCTCACTTTGCTGGTATTTCTTACCTCATGCCATATGTCTCAGTAAGATTTTGGAATCAACTTTTATCAAATAAATTTATAGAAGATTTTGTAGGTCAGATAGAGAACAATGAACTTCTTTTAAAAATATTTATTCATTTGAGACAGCACCTCAGTATTTAGAAAGAAAGGAAGAAAGAGAGAAAGAAAGAAAGGATTGAAGGAAGGAAGCAAGGAAGAAAGGATGGAAGGAAGCAAGAAAAAAAGGAAGGAAGGAAGGAAGGAAGGGATGGCTAATATACACAACTCATAACTCTTACCTCAAGGTGTATAAGAAATAGTTTATTCTGGATCCAGATAGGAGTGACCACAGCCTGGGAATACAGAATTAGGTTACTCCAATTTCTGTGTTCCAGTATGGAAGCAGTTTCAGAAAGGCATTATAGTAATAACATACAGAAAGTTGTGAATCAAGGTATCTTCATTGGTGGGAGTACTACGTAGGTGGGCTAAATGACGGGATGTCTCTTCTAGGCCTGAGTGTCCCTGGCTTTGTGGATGGTTAGAAAATGAGTGCTCTGTCTCTACCAATTGATTTACCTAATGCTCACAAAGCTCTTAGGTCAGATAGAGAGGATTGCAGTAAATGATCAGGACGAGGGCTAATGCTAGTCCAAGATAATTTGCTTCTGAACTTGCCACTGTTCTAAACTCTGCCCCGTCACTGAAGGTCTCTCCAGTAAATCAGGCTCTCGGAAGGTTCAGTTGAAGGGGCCATTTGTTTCTGGGAGCTTTTGCTTACATAGCTAACACTGACCTCAAAGTCGCAATCCTTTCTCCCCAGTGATAATAGGCCTGTGTCCCCATTCCCAGATCGGTTTTTCCTGACTCAGCAACTTAACATAGAATTAATTCAGAACTTATTGAATACCTTATTAATTGAAAGTAGGGTTCAAGAGCCTCGTGTGATAAATGCTTGCCTACAGTACTGCACTTGGGATATGGAGGCAGGAGATCAAGAGATGAAGGCTATCCTTGTCTACATAGTGAGTTCAAGGCCTGCATAGGATACAGTAGAGCTCCCTTCTTCAAAAGAAAAGAGGGATCAAGCTGGATATGGTAATACATGCTTGTAATCCAAGTACTTGGCAGATTGTGACAGAATTACATCAAGTTTTAGGACACCCTGGGTTTCAGAGCGAGATATTTTTTTCAAAAACACGAAACCAAACAAATCATAAAAGGGAAGTAGGGCTTGGGCAGAGGATGTAGTTCACTTGTGGTAGAGTACTTGCATAGAATGTATAAAACCTAGGTTCAGAGTGATCTTTTAAAACTCTGATTGCATTGTGGAGACGTCACCCTCAAAATATGATCTTCTCTAAAAGCAGCGAATGCACTGGGAACCATTTGCATCATCAACTTTTTATTCACACATACTTTTTTCCAAATGAATACTGCAACAAATAGAGCATGGCTACTTAAAAAAATTGGTTAATATTTGAAACAGCAATGAACTTTGTGGCATTTTATCGTGGTGTGTGTTCCTACTGATTTTTTTTTAAAAATGCTCTGCAGTAACTTTGTAAACTAATTGCATAATCCTAGAACATGTGAAAACCACTATTTTTGAAACCATTTGAGAAAGAAGAATGACTTTTCAATTTCCCCAGTTCTGGGAATTATGACTTCTTCAGCTTGTCTTATTTGAAATTACTCAGAGCTTGATTGTTTCAAAGTTTTTTTTCAGAGCATTTTAAAAATAAAAGTGGGTGGGTAGGGAGGTTGGGAGGATCAGGGAACAATTTAGGGAGGAAAGAAACATGGTCAAAATATATTTTACTAATCTTTAATGCACATAAAAAGAAAATACTCAATGGTAGTTGTTTAGAACTCCAGTTAGTGCAGGCAGTAGAAAGACTAAAACAGCAAGCAAATTGCTGGACAGTATTCATAAAAGGTAAAAGAAGAAGAAGCACCTTTGAGAGCTCTGAAAAGCTCTGGCATATTTCTAGAACTCTACATCATGCACATATATAGAGCTTTGCACATGCTCAGTGTTTGTATTTATCTAAAAAAGAATTGAGAAAGCCCTGTTCCCCAACTTTTAGATGACTTGAATCTCTGAGCAAGCAGCAGGTGAAGGCTGGAATAGAATTGTAAATTGCCTAGCTAAATATTGAAGGCACACCCTCAAATACATACATAACAGTTCAACAAAGACTATCTTAGTTTGGATTTCTATTGCTATGAAGAGACACCACAACCATGGCAACTCTCAAGAAGGAATGCATTTAATTGAGTCTGACAGAGGTTTAGTTCATTATTGTCATGACAGGAAGCATGGCAGTGTGTAGGCAGACATTGTGCTGGAGAAGGAGTTCAGAGTTCTACATCTGTCTGGATTGACAGGCAGCAGGAAGAGAGAGTAAACCACTGTCCCTGGCTTGAGATTCTGAAACCATAAAGCCCACCCTCAGTTGACACTTCCTCCAACAAGGGCCATACCTACTCCAAAAAGGCCACACTTCCTAATAATGCTGCTCCCTTTGGGGGGTCATTTTCATTCAGATCACCACATTCCACTCCTTGGCCCCCAAAGGCTTGAGCCCATAGCATAATACAAAATGGATTAAGTCCAACTTCAAAGATCTCCATAGTCTATAACAGTATCAACATTGTTTAAGATTCCAAAGTTCAAAGTCTCTTGTGAGACTCTTGCAGTCTCATAATTGTAATCCCCTGTAAAATCAAAATGGCTGAAAGACACTTAAGGAAATGTTCAACATCCTTAGTCATCAGAGAAATGCAAATTAAAACAACTTTGAGATTCCGTCTTAGAACTGTAAGAATGGCCAAGATCAAAAACACCGATGAAAACTTATGCTGGAGAGGTTGTGGGGAAAAGGGAACACTTCTGCATTGCTGATGGGAATGCAAGCTGGTACAGCCCCTTTGGATGTCAGTGTGGTGATTTCTCAGAAAATTAGGAAACAACCTTCCTCAAGACCCAGTAATACCACTTTTGGGTATATATCCAAAGGATGTTCAATCGTGCCACAAGGACATGTACTCAACTATGTCCATATCACCTTTGTTTGTCATAGCCAGAACTTGGAAACAACCTAAATGCCCCTCAACTGAAGAATGGATAAGGAAAAAACTCCCCGTGGCTTTCTCAGTCTGATTTTGTATAGAACCCAGGACCACCAGCACAGGGGTGGAACCACCCATGGTGACCTGGGCCCTCCCACACCAGTCGCCTATAAAGAAAATGCCTTAAAGCAGGATCTTATTGGAGCATTTTCCCAATTGATGGCTCAGTGATAAAGAACACTTGCTGCTCTTCTGAAAGACATGGGTTCCATAACGATTGCCCATATGGTGGGTTACAACTGTTTCTAAGTCCAGTTCCAGGGGACCTGGTGTCCTCTTTTGTCCTCCACCCCAGAAGTGCTGAGGATATTCTTTTCAAACATATATGGAATATTCTTCAAGTGACTCTATATTAAATCAGAAAATAGGCTTCAACAAATGTGATCACAGTAGATTCGCTACCAATAACAGCAAGTATTGAAATCTACAACTTTGTGAAAATTAAATAGCACATTCTAAAATAGTTGATATATTATGGAAGGAATCTATCTTTTTTGCTTAAAAAGCTCTAATTTGGGGGCTGGATATAGTAGTAATCCTGTATAGCACTCAGGAGCTTTAGTGAGGCCAGCCCCAGCTATAGAGTGAGAAACTGACTAGCTCACTAACTAACCAAATAAATAAATATCTGGACACATTTGTTTGCCCAGGCTTCCATATGTTTTGAGAATGTACTTGATGCTTGTAGTGGGAAGTTGGGGAATTTGAAGACACAAGAAAAATTTATTTCTCTTGTGTGTGTGAAGAGATTGAAATCCAGGACAGAGAATTGAATGGCTAGCACACTGCCAGTAAGTGGGAGAGTTGAATGCAAAAGGGGGGAGATGTTAGTGTTATCTACTTTGTATGCATTCTCCACATTCACAGCATAATTTCTTTCCTATAAAGAACGAAACACTAAAGTAGATATGATCATGCCTGTTAATAAGTAAGGCAGCTGAAGCTCAGAGGGGTCAAGACATTTACACAAAGTTACTCAGGAAGAAAATGATGAGAAAAAGGCTTCCAATCCAGGCCTACTTCTCTCTAAAATTTGTGTTTCTTTTCTTTCTCTGTATTGTTTACTGAACTAAAATCCTTATTATCTCATGCTCTATCTGATTTTTTTTTCTAATTTAGAAGTTAGTTCCTTGCTTATATGTGATTCTGTAAAATCTCTCCTCAGGTAATCAGTAAAAATACTTGACAGAATGCAAGGAGATAGATTTAAGGCTAAGATTAAAGAACTTTTATATCTTGTCTTTTATTGTGACAGATTGAGATCCTGTAGCTCAGCTCAGGTTGCCCTTGATCTCACTGTGTAGCAGAGCATCACCTTGAGCTATAATCCTAACGGTCTTGTTTGTCCGTACAATGAGAGAAGCCCCAGACATTTTTAAGTGTGACTAAGTGGATTAAATATAATGTTAGTTGTGAAATATCTCTCTAATTGGGGATTAGCAAAAAAGGAAATAAACGGAAGAGAAATAATAGTCAGTGGGTACTTAACCTGTCCTCCTGTTTACCTTAGGTTTCATGTCATTCTCTAGTGGCTCTGTGAGATTAAGGTACTGGTCTCTACTTCATGTTGCATAGATCTTTGCCTGCTCATCAATATACACCATTACTAATTTACTTTATTTTTTATTCTCTCTTGTTAGCGGAATCATTCAAGGAATTTGCTGAATTGCTCAATGAAGTAGAAAATGAGAGGATGATGATGGTAGGTCACTGTATTAGTAAGGGTTCTGTAAAGGAACAGAACCAATTGGGTGAGTATATTTTTAAAGGGAATGCATTAGATTAACTTTTGCCATATGGGACATCTAGTTCAACAATGGCTCGGTTCACATCAGAGAGGCTGGAAACCTAGTAGCTGTTCAATCAATGAGGCTAGATGTAGTCTCAACATTGCATTGAATTTCCAAGAGTTTCTAGTCTTCAGTCCATGTTGGAAGGCAAAGAACCTGGATTCTACTATCACCAAAGGGTGGCAGGCAGAGCAACAACAGGGTAGATGTGTTCAATCTGAGTCATGGCACCAATGTAATTGTAAAAGTAGAATGCTGCAGATACCAGTGGCTGCAGTGGGTAGCAGGTCCCAAGAGCAGCCAGTCCCAAGCAGGGACGGTACAGTTCTCCAAGTGACTGCAGTGGGCCACGAGGGGCAGCGAGTCCCATGAGGAGAGACAGATGGATGGGCATGTCACGAGATCACACTGCAGGTCTCTGAATGCCCCCAGGCAGGGAGCCACGCAGTGGGCAAGAGACAGATGGATAGGCACACCATACAGAGTGATGTTGGATATTTATTTAGTGGGTTCTGGAAGGGAAGGAAAGAAGGGAGAAGAGCAGAGAGGAGAGAGAGAGAGAGAGAGAGAGAGAGAGAGAGAGAGAGAGAGAGAAATAGAAGGGGGAAGGGGAGAAGTGGGGAGAGACAGAAGCTGCCTCTTCAAGAGGGAGATGGCAAAGAAAGGACTCAAGCTGGAAACTGAAGATCAGTTTACTTGGGCGGGCAGGGAGGGAGTGGGCATTCCTTATCTTTTTAAAGGGACAGAGCAGACTATTACATTCACCAGCAGGTAGTGACTGTGAGCAGCCTTTCCCCAAGACTTCTTTATAACCAGGTCACCACTTTGGGAGATGGTCTTCCTCTGTTCAATTAATCCTTCTACAAAACTCTGTCAGAGATGTACCCAGAGTTGTTCTCTTACTAGATCCCACGTCCAATGAAGTAGACAAGTGTCTTTTGCAGAACAGAACTGTTATTGAAGCTCAATTTATCATTTTTTCTTTTAAAATAATTTTTCTGTATATGACTGTTTTGTCTGCATGTATGTTTTTGTCTCATATGAGTGCCTGATACCTGTAGATGCCAGAAGAGAAATTCCCTGGAATTGAACTTACGTATGGTTGTAAGTCAGCACATATGTGCGAGGAATTGAACTGGGGTCCTTTGGAAGATCAGTCAATGCTCTTAACTGTTGAGCCACCTCTGTAGTTCCCCTTTTTTCTTCATAGATCTTGCTTTTGGAGTCTAAAAAAGTCATCATGAAATGTAAGGTCATCTAACTTATTCTGAAATCTCTTAGGCGTTTGGTACATTTAGGTCTATGATCCATTTTGAGATAATTTTTGAAGGATTAAAAAATCTTTATTTAGTGTAATTTTTTTACTATGTGAGCATCCAGTGGTCCCATTTTCCCCACCACAACTTCAGTATTTGTTGTTGGTTGTTTTGTTGATCTTTAGCATTCTGACTAGGGTAAGGTGAAATTGAAGTTTTGTCATTTGTATTTCCCTAGTTGCTGGGTATGATGACCATTCTAGAATCATTTTGTTTGAATGGGTCTTTGTGGTTTTCATGCTTTCTTTTTTTGAGTTCTTAATATAGTTTGGACAGTAATCCTCAATCAGGTATACAGATGGCAAAGATTCTTTCAAATCTATTTTGTGGGCCTGCTCTTCACACAGAAGCAGAAGCTTTTGCTTTTTATTAAGTCCAGCTTGTCAATTGTTGGTCTTAATTCTTGGACAAATGGATCCTTTTCAGGAAATCCTTTCCTAGACCTTTATGGTGTAGCTACTGCCTGCGTTCTCTTCTAGCAGTTCCATTGTTTGAGGATTTAGGCTTAGGTCTTTGATCCATTCAGAGTTAGTTTTTGTGAAAGGTGACAGATACAGATCTAATTTCATTCTTCTTGTGTAATTCCAGGTTTTCCAGTATCATTTGTTGAAGATGTTTTCTTTTTTCCAGTGTGTTTTTGGCACCTTCGTCAAATATTAAATTGCTGACATTATCTGTACTCATGTTTGGGTCTTCGGTTTTGTTCCATTGGTATATGTTTGTTTTGGCCAGCACCATGAGTCCTTTTATTATTATGGTTTTATACTATATTTTGAAATCTGGAATGGCAATTTCTCCAACATTGTTCTTTTTGATAAGGATTGTTTTGATTATATAGGGTCTTTTGTGGTTCCATATTAATTCCAGGATAGCTTTTTCTATTTCTGTGACTAATAAGATGGGGATTTTGATTGGGATTGCATTGAATCTGTAAATGGCTTTTGGTAAAATGGTCATTTTCACAATACTAGACCTTTATGGTGTCTATCTATGAATATGGGGTGCTTTCTCATTTTCTAGTGTCCTTTTCTATCTCTTTCTTCAGAAATGTAAAGTTTTCATTGGAAAGGAACTTCAGCTCCATGGTTAGGTTTATTTCTAGATAATGTATTTCCATTGAGGCTATTGTGAATTGTATAGAAAAGGTATTGATTTTTGCAAGCTGATTTTGTGTTCTACCATCTTGTTGAATTTGTTCATCATTTCTAGAAGTTTAATGGCAGAATTTTGACATATGTAATGTATACTATCATATCATCTGAAAAGGGCAACAGTATGACTCCTTTTACTATTTATATACTTTTAATTTCTTTTTATCTTGACTTGTTTATAACAATTTCTTTTGGGGGACCAAGGAAAGAGTTTATTTGTCTATCAGATTTTGAATCACAGTCCATCAAGGAAAGCCAAGGCAGGAATTCAAACCAGGTGAGCAACTGGAGGCACAAACTGATGCAGAATTCATGGAAGAGTTCTCCTTACTGGCTTGCTCCTCTGACTTGCTCAGCCTTATTTTTTTTATTAATTTTTAAATTTTTGAGGTAATAGTTACAACATTTCTCCCTTTCTTTCATCCCTCCGAATCCTCCCAAATATCCCTAAATTGCTCCCTTTTAAATTGATGACCTTTAAATGCATAGATGAATATAATATATATTCAGAAGTGCAACCTGCTTAGTTTACATAATGTTACTCGCATGTCTGTTGTCAGGGATGACCATTGGTACAACTTAGTATGCTCTTTTCCTGGAGAAGACAAATTCTCCTGTTCTGAGCATTACTTACCAGTAGTTCTTTGTCTAGGACTGAGGAATTATGGACTTTCCCCCTGGACTATTTCTTAAAAGACTATCTTTTCTCAATACAAATAGTTCTTTTTTCTTTCCTCTATTTCTGTTTCATGTATAAATTCTTTTATTTCTCTCCATTTCCATATTGTGTTCATTACTATAATTTTGTAGTAAGCCTTGAAATAAGGTATAAACTGTAGAGTCAGTTTGTTAGTATTTGCAAAGTAAGTTACTAGCATTTTCATTGGGATAACCCTGAATCTCTAGATCCAGCTGTGGAAGCTATCATCTTAAAAATGATGACTCTTTGTGTCTGGGAATGTGGGTCATCATTTTGTTTACTACTCTTACTTCTGTTTCATCAATGTTCCATAACTTATTTATGAAGGTCTTTCATGCATGTTTCTAGGTTTGTACCTAAGATTTTTTTCATTTTTGTATTCTAATCATTTTAATGGTTTTGAATGTAATCTTGACCCGAATGTGATAATACAAACAAGTCTGTACTCCCAGATTCCAAGAAAGAGGTTTGAAGCAGGAGGATCAGAAATTCAAGGCAATGTTTGGATTCACGGAGAATCCTAGGCCAGCCTGAGGTACATGAGATCCTATTTAAAACAAAACAAAACAAAACCAGACAACAGCAACAAAAACAACCAAAAAAGTCATCCTTCAACAAGAGAAAATGTTTTTATTTAGTCCCTAGATCAGCAACATCCATATTTCTTGGGACATTATTCATGGCCCCAACCCAGACCTAGTTGGTCCCCACATCTGGAAATAGTGGTTTGAACAATTTGCATTTTAAGTAGTGGTCCGTGTGTAAAGTAAGAACTCTGTATAGGACAGCAAAATGGTTTTTTGTCCCCACCTCTACTGAGATGACTTGTTATCGGCATCCTAGCTTTGTTAAGCAGCAGTTCCATTTAAAAGGTTTTCCTCATCCCACTCTAAGAAGACAGTGGTCCTAGCTTTTCAGAGGACTACTACCATTTTCTTGGCTCCTAGACAACTGTGGTTGAAGACAGGCTTTGAGGGTAGGAGATTTAGTATTTGATTCTGACTCAGCCACTAGCTCAGTTTTTGACTTTGTACTAATCAGTTATTGTCTCGTAAAGTACGGAAAATAATTGCCAGTCCTCTTCTTATGAAGCACCCTACATGACATGATGGTACAAGAATGTTTTATAAAGGCAAAACACATTGATTATATAAAAATTGTTTTTAGTAGTCTCTGGTTGCTCATGAGAAATAGCAGGAATTTTCCGAGTTCATGAAATTTGCTTCTAAAGATAATAAGGGGAGAAAGACATGAGTGCTTTCATTTAAGCCTCATAGATGGCCTACTCGCTCAGGCGAAGTTCGTTGGGTATTCTCTTCTGTCAGAGCTTCCCTCGCCCCCTCCTCATGTTGTTCTCAGAGGCGTTCACCTCTAGCTCATTCAGCTGCCACCAGGAAGAAACCTCAGTTGCCATTCTCCACTGTACTCCGTCTCTTTTATTTACTTGAGAGCAAAGCTCTACATTACTAGGACAGATGTTGTTTTCCTTCTTCTTCCTGGTTCTTTGTCACATATTTATGTTGAGCAGTTTCTCATTCTTTCTAAAATTAGAATCCCAAGTGGATTTTTAATGACAAGCAATAAGGAAGTTCAGGGTCTGAGACCATGGCAATGGCCCTGGCCTGGTCATCTCCATAAACAAATGAATGTAGGTTGTGGCAGGAACTGTGAGGCGAGAAAAGGTGGAGTATCCTAGCTGTGATGATCTTCAGAGGATTACTGACTGGGTAGCTGTCGCCTCTCAG